CATTTATCAAAAGATTCGAAACATTTCCAAAAAAGAACGACAAATGATATTCGACTTTATAATATGTCACGATCACCGGTAACGTCCACAGTTAGCCGACTAATTTTCGAATTATAATCATCACTAATATTAACCAAATTAGGTTTAAACTGTTTAATTCTTGGTACTTTTTACATACACCAATCTCTTTTAACCCTTGATCTGTTTGGTTTTTTGAGGTTAAATAGATCATCGATTCTCCTCCACTTCAATCTCGTTTGAACTCTCATCATTATTGTATGTTGTTATTTGAAAGGATAAAATCTTCAGTTTATCAGAGTATGTGATGTTCACGTATGTCTTTTCCATTTAAAGAATGTCTCTATTTCTTCTATTTCTTTGGTTAACTTTTGTTACTTAAAGGATTTCTTTTTTTTTTCAAGTTAAATTGTTATAAATTAATTATTGCTGTATTGACATTAATTAATTAATATATATATCAGATATATTATAAAAAATTATATAAATTTAAATGTACAATTAAATATCTAATTAAATTATGAACAAATCAAACGGTTGAAAAAATTTTAATCGCTGCGGAAATAAAGTGACGATTGCTATGTGATATCGCTTCTTAATTTTTTTTCATTAAAAAATAAATATTTGCCAAATATTTATATTTGTGTTTCGAAAGAGGACGGATTGTGAGAGGTTCCAAAGAAATAACCCTTAAACCATGCAAACTTATTTATTCGTTCTCCGATTTAAAGTAATTCAAATATGTTGAAAAAATGACTAACCTTTTACGGTTGCTTAATTCTGCTTTCACACAACCTTCCAGATATAGGCCAATCATTTCTCCATCTAACATCGCACCATCATTCGCTTACCAGAGACATCGCCCCTAATTTCTTGGTGACTTGGTCCCTCATTTTATTATATTTACCCCACTATTTTTCGCCTGCGTTTATTTCTTCCTCTCTTTCTTCTCTTCTTTTTTCAGTTTATCCGTAAAAACTCTTTGTCCTTCCGACATCCAAATAGACTTATATATATATATATAAATATAAATTCGTCGGTCGCTCTGTGAGCAATCAACGTATAGTTTATAAACTACCTGACTTTTTTTTTTTTTATCTCGTTCTTACTCGACAACTTTGTCAGCAAAAAAAAAAAAAAAATTTTTTTTTTTGTCGTTATTGTTCCTCTTCAAACAAAGAAATTTCCTGACCAACAAAAATAT